ATGACACAAATCATGTCACAAACCCTTAAAAATGAACGGTGCTATGAAAAGGACTGTTTGGCACCAGTTTTGTTGTAAATTTCACAAAATGTGATATAARATTTTTAGTCTGTTTTTTKGGCACTTTCACATTTTATTGTAAACACCTGCGAGGACTTAGCCCTACTAGCCCYTTTATACCAGCCATTCTTATATATAAAACTGACTAAGCTACTGTATAATCATTTTTTTTTGTTTTGGCTAATGTCAACAATTCATCAGTTGTACATCCAATAATTAAAAACTGCATTTTTTTCTACAATTAAAAGAAATTAAAGCWATTTTGATTCAAGTGGACCTGAAAATGTAAATAATGTAAATTATTCACTACAGATTAAACACATCATCTCAGCTGCATCTCACCATTTGTTTACAGAACGTGTCAAACTGTTCTCGTTTCACACAAACACACAGAGAAACCCTCTTCTGAGGTAACCAGCTAACTAGATTCCAAACCTATAATGAATGAATAAATCAGAGACACTATCTTCACTACATAATTCATTTGAAGAGTACAAATCTGTAGACAGAGCAGCAGAAACACCTCTCCTTCTTGCTGTGGTTTCAGCCTCACTAGCACAGCAAAGTCTAATAAGAGCACTGTGCAGCACATCTGTCAGCCGTGTGCATTGTCCAAAGCCTGAGAGTAGGAAACCTTGACACAGTAGACGCTCTGCACGCATTAGAGGATTGTGAATGCTTTAGAGTCACACTAGTTACATTCTGCAAGAATGGAAAAAAAAAAAACATTTTTTCTGGAGAAATTCAACATAGGAATAAAATTTCACAAATCTCTCTTTGGGTTTAAGTCAAACTAACACCTGGATCACTACGCCACCCATCTCGATAACATCTTGTTTTTATTTACACACTGCAGGGCCTGCTTRCTCTACGTGTCTACATGTGTCCAACAAATGTGGTGTGGGGCACGGGTTAAAATCCCAAAACCAACACTGGGGTGGAGATTTCTCAAAGTGATGAATAAATCTGCAGGAACCTGCTGCCGTCCCCAGAGCTGAACCCTGATGTCTGTAGTAAACCCACTCAGAACCCAATGCCAGCTTCAGAAGCAGGGTATGCTGGGAAGACTTGGCACAACATGAATAATCCAAGCTTGCTCTGGTGTTCCTGTGTGCTTTGGAAGCAGTGTGCATTGTGCAGGTCTTCAGTCCTATTTTGAGCAAACAACATTATGTAATTTGTCACTTTTGTATTGCTTTCTGGCACTGAATCCACTTCACTTTTGTACAGAATTTTATTATGCTCACATTCGCCGGTATGCAGACAGGCACTTCTCAGCCCAGCACGCTYTTTGAGCATACCTAATACTTGGCTTCCAAATGACTAAAAAACAAAAACATACATTTATATTTAGCATGCATGTCTTTCACCTCCTGTATCAGCATGAGGCAGAGCCAACCTACAATGACAACACAGAGCTTAGCACATCATTACTGAGTGTGATGAATATTTTAACACACTATAGTCAGCACAGGGGACAGATCTTTTTTTACCAGCGCTCCCCCCGTATTTGTTTTTGGTTGGCTGGAARGTGGTTCTGAATCTTCAAGTCTTAGTCTTGGCCTTTGTATCAGTGTCATTAAGATCAGACAGAACCAAGTCATTCACATTATCGATAATGAGGATTTTTCAGTGTGGGAATTAGGGATGCACCGATATGACAATTTCAGCTGATATCAATATCCCATATTATTATTACTGTTATGTCCAATAACCGATATTTACTGATATTACACAAACACACAAATAATTTATATACTTAAACGCACAAATACACTTGTGTCTGACATGGCTCTCTACTTCAGTTTTTCCTGGCTGCCCATCATCACTATCACTACCATGATCAAACAAATACCACCTGACCAACAATTTTCCCTCCCAAAACAGAAACACAAAGCCAAAAAATGGGAAATGAAAATTGAACGTTAATGTCGGCCAAGGTTTACATATCAAACTGATACCGATGAAAAATGACCAACATTGGCCTATACCGGTGTTAACACAGATAGCAATATGAGTTAATCAGCAATGAAATATGTTAAGGCATGATACTGAATCCATGTTGAAAGTATACAAAAAGTGGTTGGTGACTTACTTGTTGAAACAATGATTTCAAACATAAGTGATACTATGTTAAACTTGATTCAACATTGATTAGACATTGGCATTTCAATCATTAGAATTGGGTCATGAAAGAACATTGATTCAATATCATATTTTTAACATTGGTTATTTGGATAGAATTGGATTATTGTTTGATGGTTGGGTCACCATCAATAGTCAATCTTAATAACATTCAGCGGAACGCCCGCTTGCTGTTTAATGGTTCGTTTTATTTTGAAACGTCTTTCTGTGTTTCCGATCAACCTATGTCCGTGTTCAATGCATCAAAATGGCCGTCTAGGCCCTCCTCTTTCGATTGACACCTCATTTGACCAACTGGGTTCAACCATCGGCCCTCCAGAGAAGTGACCAACTTCTGGTTTCTGTCATCCTGGGCTAGATTGACTGTAGAATCGGCCAGTCAGCTCCGAGCTTTGTTCTGATGCCACAGCTGTGTAGCCAATCACTGTACCTTTCATTTGGTATATATTTTGAGGGGGTGGGAACTTGTTGAAACAATGATTTCAACCATAAATTATACTATATCAATGTTGATTCAACATTGATTAGACGTTGGCATTTCAGTCAATAGAATTGGGTCARGAAAGAACATTGATTCAATAACATATTTTCAACATTGCTTATTTGGATAGAAATGGATTATTGTTTGGTGGTTGGATCASCATCAATCGTCGATCTTAACCAAAAATCACKMTTTTTGACCATAATTRAACTTTGAATTAACACCTTTTGCTACCTGGGAATATATSGTTCATCCCTAGTGGGAATATATTCCCATGAATTCCTTGACATTGTTGTCAGCCTGATAAAGTTGACTTAAAACCAATCAAGGTCTTAGATGTTGATATGGAGTGGTACAAGAGGTTGGGTGATTGCCCTTGATAGTCTCTCTTGCATACAGTATGTTGCTTTAAGCTTCAGAGGGGGGATCAGTACAAATGGCATCATTCCTCTTCTACCCACTACAATGTCCTCCACATCTCCTTGAAGTAAATCTAGATGGCTTAGAGTGGTCGTATTTTCCTCAACAATAAATTGAAGTGGACAGTTTGAGAGATGGTCCGGCTTGAATCTAAGACTTTGTGAAAGCTTTTCACTCCRGGCTATTCGGTGAAGGATGTGCAGTGGGCCTTTCCTGCACCGAGACATTCTGCATCATTTGTTTAGTCACTCTGGCTCTCCGCAAAAACCAATAAATTGCAGGCATGGTCAAGAATCGCTAATTGGGTGAGAGTCTCTTGCTGCATCAGCTCAGCACTTTCAAGCTCCCGATGATACACGTCCACCCCACCCCACCCCTTAAAATAGGTCGCCAAACTGCAGAAACACACGCTGGTCAACAACTTGGACTCCGTGAGACTGTCGGAGCTAAGAATACACAGAAACCTTAGCACATTAACAGTCACCATGAAGTCAGCCAGCCGTCAAAGGCAAGGTATTAATAGATCAGGACTGTGTCTTCAGCAGCAACAACGGCATAAAGTCTGGAAGTGCCACTTTAAWGCCCTATGGCTGTTTTACCTACTTAATCTTCAAAGAAATACCTAGAGCAAAATATGCATACATGTCATATACATACACAGTGTATGATGATGATAAAACAAGGATTGCATTCTATTTCCACTTACTTAATCATGATTGAACGATTTGTCCCAAAAGTGTACTTTAGTACAAAAGTGCAAATCCTCAAACGCGTCAAATGAGTCCCGTTTTTTTTCTTCTTTACAAGTCAACTTGGGTGTAAAATAACACAATGACTAATGATGTAGAGAATACACTTTCAAGCTTCTCTCATCTCTTTTTTTATACTTCCATCATAATATGTTCTGCAACTTCATTCWGTGAAATGATCCATGGAGGGAAGTGAAAAAAACACAACTGATGATAAGGCTTAAATTCACCGCGGTATTTGAAGAAGTTTTGTCATTTGAGAAGTGCGGAGTTCTCGACAAACATGTGTCCACATGTTTTCAGTCTGCTGCATCGTCTCGATTCAAGCTTAATCTAAAAAGAACATTTGCCTGACCTACTTAGGGGCGTTCCACAGCTCAGGAGGCTGTGAATTTTAGATTTTGCTGCTGCAGAGGCTTTTCTTTCATTCTGTTTTATGACTTGTGGCACAAGCAGAAAAACTGAGAAGTGTGGAAGATCACACAGTTTCATGGACAGGCGGGTCAATAGGTCGGTCACAGAACTGCAAAAGTTGATGATTTCATGTTTACTTATTCGTGCACAATTTTCCAAGTTTCTACAACATATTTTTCATTACTTCAAACACATTTAGGGAAATTCCTTAAGATTGTTATTGGAACAAATGTACGCTTTTTATTCCAATATCACATAAAAAATCTAACATGTATTCTTAACCAAAGCTAATACTACCAGAAGTGACAAATAATTAAATCTGATATTATATATCAGTTGACTCGGTCACAGACATTGTTTCTATTCCAAATCAAGCTTTTAGAAACCTAATACCACCCACTGCATTGGGACGTAACCATGTGTCCTGCCAGTCATTCTGTGTGTGTGTGTGTGTGTTTGACCCTTTGACCATGAATCCCATTCATTAATTGTCATGCAGCATGCCTTCGCCATCTCCTCTCCCTCCTTTTTTTTTAGGCCTACTGCCACAGAGGGTCATCTACAAAAACAACAGCCACTCAGCTGCTGTTTCTGCAGGCCTCTCAGTCAAGCAGCAGCCTGGCCACACAACTGGTTAACTGTGTCTGTTTACTCACCCTTTTGCCCTCTTTGCCTGGCTGACCCGGTGCTCCCTGAGGAAAGAGCAAGTGTTATACTGAATTAGCTGCTACGTTTAGCATCGCAGGAAGTCCTAATAAGCTGCTTCTTGCAGAAACAGACAGAGGCAGTCAATGTTCGTGCCATATGTTRTCAGATATGGAGTGTATTAGCCACTATTAGATGCACACAATCAGCTTAGCTAGAACTGAAAGCATTATATAGAAGGTGTATGTAAAYCAGTAGTTTCAAGGCTTCAACATGAATAGCTTCTAGGTGACTTCTCCAATATGCCCTTAATAGGCAATTTGCAGCCTCAGTTGATCAGGACTCCATTCCATTACTCTACAAAGTGTCCTGATAAAAAACTATTAGCAAGTTAATCAAAGTATACACTGATTCTATGTTCCTGTGAAAAGGTGAGCTTATGCTGCTTTGGTAGTTCCTTGTTAAACCTAAGTTGGGATTTTTTAAGAAAGAACTTTTTCAGGAAAAAAAAAGAAACAAAACAAGAGAATGTACGATTCTGTGTTTAAAGGGGCAATATCATGTAAAATCAACATTTTTGAGTTTTATTATAATGTAAAATTCTCATAAAAACATTCCCAAACCCTTGCTTTGACTCGTTCATGCATATTTGAGAAATCCTGCAGCGTTTTTAGGCAGCCATGCTGAGGAGCAAAACGACAGGTGGGGACCAGAAACGCCTCTGGATTGTGTCATTTTGGGACAATCTCGTCCTCTGGGATGTGTCTTTAAGCCGAACATCCTCATGGCAGAGCCCCCCCCCACACACACACACACCACCACCACCACCCATGACTCCTGCAGGCTCTCGGCAGTAACAAAGCATACAATGGGTGAAACTGAAAGTGAAACTGAAATTGTCTGCTGAGCTCCTAACACTACTTTTTTTAAAATCAAAAAATTTATTAATTTCATTACAAAATAACTATATACAATAAAAAAACAAAGTAAATACACAAATCAAAAATTTAAATAAAACGAAAGGCAGCAGCAGAAGAATAAATCTTATAGTATACTTCTCACTCAGTGAAGCTCTTTTCAGATTCAAAATACCTT